AAATACGATTCGTTTTAAACCAAGCAGACATAGATTGATAGTTTTGAACCATAAGATAATTTTATACGAAATACCTTATTTAACAATACATTAATCCAACATTCTGGTTTTCTTTCTTCGCATTGTATTAATTTCAGAGAAGTTAAACTCTATTCATATTTATACATATATTTTGATTTATATTCAATTTGCTACAGTCTTTAGTGTAAATAGTTTTCTAAATAAAAGTTAAAACTACGAAAGAACTTATTTTAATATAGATAAAATAAAAACGTTTTTTTTCCATAAAAGAAAAAAAAGTACTGTTCAAAAAGCTTTTTTTTTTATTTCTTGCTTTTCGGTTTCTTCATACGTTTTGTTTTTAATCCAATTAAATCTTCGCCCATCATCTTAATACGATCACGTGTTTGACATTCAGGATTGTCTTCACCAGCATTATCATCATCTATGAAACAAAAAAATATATATTCATATCATCAAAAAAAAAAATATTTATACGAACCACCATAGATATTTCCTTTAACTGTTGATGGAGGATTAATACGTGTATTATATGCAGGTAATCGCCCATCGCCAGCATATTGAAGCTAAATGATAAAAATTATGTTAAAGATATATTAGTATTCGAATTGTCTTTACATCTAATTGTCTCATTTCTTTAAGTGTTCCTTCTAAATCTTTCGCTTCAAGTTCTTCAACAAGTTTAACAAGTTTTTCTTCTGTTGTACCAAGTAAATCAAGAACATAATCATTTGATTGTGGTGATATAACTGTTGTTGGTACTTGACTCTTGGTCTACATAGAAATTAAATTAACGAAAAAACAAAAATGATTAATATTTTTGTTTTTCTTAAACATACGCCTTTAAGATGATGTAATTTATCTGCTAAATGTTCAATGCCTGATTTAACTTCAATCATTTTTTTCATTGTTTTTTCCATTTTTGTTGCATCATCATCACGTCGTTTTTCACTTTCATCAAGTTTTTCTTGAGCTTGTTCAAGAATACGTTGACCACTAGAGAATAAACAAATCGTTTCTTTTTAAAAAAAAATTGTCATTTTTTTTTCTGCTTTACGTTGAGGTTTTAGCTTCACCACTATATTTCATTTCTTCGAATTCTTTATTTAAACGTGATTTTTCATCTCGTAATTTAGCAACATTTTGTTCTGAATCTTCTTTCATTTTTTCTAAATGTGCTGTTGTACTATCTTGAGACATAAAACGATCGACAACTTCCTATTAAAAAACTTGTTATAACAAAAAACAATTTTTGTTTTTTATTCATAAAAAATAACCTGCATTGTACTTGCGCCAGTTGCTTCTTTAATACGTGAAAAAGCATTTTCATACATATCAATTTTAGTTTGATCATGTTCAGATAATTTATCTTTTAAATCTTCTTGTGGACTTGTTGGACGTTGAAGTGCACGACGATCGACACGTTCAGCATGTAATTTTTTTTCTTCAGCTTCACTTTTTAATTCATTTAAACGAACTTCACGTTCTTTACGTTCTCGATAAACTTTATCTTCACTTTTTTTTAATTCATTTTTAGCATTTTTTTGTGCTAAATCAGCTTCAAGTGCACTACGTTGTGCTTCATGTAATTCTTGTTGAGTTTGTCGAATTTGCGTTTCCATCGCATCAAGACGATTTGTATAAGTTAAACTTTCTTGAATTAAATGTGATTTTATTTGATTATATGTTCGTTGAATAGTTACAGCTTCTGTACATTTTAATTCAGCTTTATCAAGTCGATTTTCAAGTTGACGGAGACGCTATAGAGAAAAAATGAAGTTTTGCTTGTTTTAATACCAGAATTAGTTTATCTAATGAATTCAAAGTAGTAGTAGTAGTATACAGATAAACTTAATCAAGTACTGAGAGAATAAATATGACTCGTCATACTTTCAAATATGTGTGTACCAGGCTAATGAACAAAAAGATACTTGCGCAGATTGATTCTTTGAATTATTTCTTATTATATTAGTTTATCTTTCGATTTTTCCCTGTATGTTTCTGTCTCACTTCATGCGGATATGGGAAATGAAAACAATATTACAAATGGGCATTTGCGAAAATAGTTCAGTTTTGCTGTTTCAAAGAAAAAATATCGAAGTTAATATGATGTTGCATGATTGAGAAATAGATTTTGATATTTTTTCAAAGACTTTTGCATCATTTATTAAATAAAAAAAAGTACCCATCAACAAAAATTCGACAAGTTCATTCATTATTCATTAGAATGTAATTCACTTAAAACAACTATTATTTTTCTGTGTGATTATTAACTTTGAAAGAGGTATTTTGTCAGTTTTATCTCGCAATATAGCATTATTGTTACCTTTTTCTCTTCAATATTTTCGTTTTTTCATTGGTATTGTTGGTTTACTAGCTTTTTCTTCTTTTTTTCAATTGTTGAAGAAAATAATTCTCTTAACGTGATATTAGTACATTGTAACGTATAAATAAAACATGATTTATTTTGCTAAAATACATCTCCAACGATCATTTTATGCTTAATTGAAGATCATATCATGTTGCTCAAAGTGCGACATTGACAGAAGCTAGTATATGTCCTAATGATATTTTTTCCGAAACACGAAAAATTCAATAGTAATAGAAACTCTGAAAGCATTAAGGGAACGGGAACGAAAAACGATAACCAAAAAAGTTGTTCTTGCAGAACACTAATTTATAGATATTCATCGAGCAAACAGGCTAAATAGTTCAATATGACTGCGAAGTACTATCATCTCTCCAGATAGTTTCACTTTATTCAATCTTCCAACTAAATGACACATCACCGTGCGAATGATAGAGATCAAACTATGGCATCTACCATCGTAGGCATAAGGAATACGGTTATAGATGATAAAGTTGTAAGAGAACTAACGAAACAACCATTCCAGGTGTCCCGTTAGTATTCTCATAAAAGCCCTTAAAGGATTTGGGTCCCTGTTGACATTTGATTAAGCTATTGAATTTTGATCTGAAATTTTGTGCATATAGAAAAAACACCTAGACTAGCTTTCATACAAATAATTCAGAAACTTTGAACAAAATCTCTTCGAGATATGGAGCACTCAAATAATGCACCTTGTTATACACAATCCATGAAAAGGGTTTATATCTTGAAAGTCTTATATCTTCAAGAGACTTTGTTCAAAACTTCTGATTTTTTTTTATGGAAGTTAGTCTAGTTGAGTTCTCTGATGCGCAAATTTTAGGATAAAAATTTGAAAACACGAGTTTTCCGAATACTTGGGGATCTCTAAAAATCAAATTCGATAGTTTAGTAAAATCTTAATAGAAATTTAAATTCTTTTAAGGTTTCTATCAGAACACTATATGGTATCTATTTAACGCAGTATGATAAAGAAAAAAGCAAATCAACTCAATCACACTCAACAATTTTGTATTCATCATTAACATTTATTCACGAGGGAAGTCCCTTAACGGATTAATCGCTTTTGAATCGAGATTATGTTCAATCATATAGACCCTAATGAGCTAGGAATACCCTGAAAAGAGCTCGAACTCTTAGCTTATTGTTGCCGAGATATTGCATTTTTATGGGTCTTTTTTACTTCAATGTCATAGCACGCCTCAAAAATACTAGGAAAATTTATTTTCGAATGTTCATTTAAAAATTTTCATACGAATAGTTCAGACTGAAAAGCAATGAATCATTTGAGAGACTTCCCTCGGTAAGCAAACTTGTATGGAAATTTTAAACAACAAATTGTAACTAAATCATGGGAAAATATTTCAATTTTGTTTGTTCAAATAGGGAAACATTTATACATACAGCTGCTGTTTCCGATTCACCAGCATCTGTTTGAACAGCGTCTTCGGCTTCTTTTACCATTAAATCATAACGTGTTTGAAGTTCTTCGAGTTGTTTCATTTTTGTCGCATTTGTATGTCGATGAGAATTGAGACGATTTTTTAAGTCACCTAATTGTTCATTGGTTAATTGAATAGCTGCCTGAATATTTATTTATATAATTAATATTAAAAGAAAAATAACATAGAAATCAACTTACTTGGCCTGTTTTATTTTTAAGTGCTGCTCTTTCATCTTTTCGACCACTGAATGCTTCATTTAATACTTTTTCATCACCCTATATAATTAAGATAATATTTTTATTATGGAAGCCTTATGAAAAACGAAAATTCCAAATTTTCTCGAAGTGATTTACAAAAAAAAACAACAACTTACTTCGAGTAATTCCTTAAGTTTTTGTCGTTTTTCCTTATTTTCTTTTTGTAATTGAGTAATTTTTCGTTTATTTTTATCGGTTTGTAAATCAACCTGTTCAATATAAGCTTCTTGGCTACCAGCTAAAATTCAAATGAATTCAATTTCTAGGTCATTCCTTAATCTACAAACGTACCTAAGAGTTCGCGTTTTTTGCGTAACTCTTCAATCTGTTCAGCCATAGATAATTTATATTGATACTGTTCATTGGATCGAGCACCTGATGGCATGATAAAGAAAAAGACTTTACTTCTTGAGTCTCACAAACAAAAAAAAAGCTGTTTCCTAATGTATATGTATTTGTTGACTTTACAACCATTACAAGAATAAGTTGCTTAGCAATGAAGTTTTTTTTTTGATCTTATTGTAAATTATAATAAACTAAAATCAAATAAAACTAACTATATTCTGTTTTCGATATGATTAAATAATATATAAAAAATTTAAAAGAAAATATAAATATTATCTTAAATGAGCGACATCTGTCAAGTTTGATTTTCATGATTCATAAGACATAGGTATTTTTCATTGATGTATGTAGGCGTATGAATTTACATTGCTTTTGCGCAATAATATTCTGAAATAACTGCGCATGATCGAGTAAATATACGTCATCCTATATATTGCGAACGATAAAACGCTGTGTCAATTAGCCTATTTTGTTTGTAGTTCAGATATTGAATAGATTAAATATTTTTAGCGTAAGGTTTTCTAGTACTTGCAAAAGTGTGCAATGCCTAAATTCATTTATCCATCCAGTACAAATGATGAAACTTATAATGAAATAAAAAGTCTTCGTTCAAGCAAAACAAATAAACGATTAAGACATTTACCAATATTCGAACGTATTTATTACAAAAAAACATGTGAAGTTAAGAAAACGTAGGTCATTTAATAATAATATTATTTTAATTAAATAAATATTTCTTTCTCAGAGGTCATAATTTAGAAGATGTACATCGTCTTTATGATGGTAATTTACGCTATACAACACATAATTTAACTTATTCATTAAATAAAAAGAAACGTTGGTTATTACCTGATATTATTCAAGAACGCATTTGTGAATATGATTCTACTGCTCAATCTTCTAAATTAAAAAACGGTGATCAAATATCAACTGTTGATGAACGTCTTAAAATTATTATGTATGAAAATGAAAATATTCGTCATTCCTCTACTTGTTTACGTTATGCTAATAATCAAACAGAACCACAAATATTATATAACAATGGACGAAGATTTAATTCAACAACATTAACAAAATGGATAAATTTTGATACGCGCGAACGTTGGAATAGTCATCATCGAAATCATAGTGATAATCGAGTGAATCAACCAAATTTTGGTATACAACAACGACCAGGATTTTTTCCCAGTGAAGTAACATATGAATTTTTATATCCAAAACGTCTTTCATCATTCGAAACTCATAAGAATGGGAAAACATCATTATCACTTTGTAAAGTTCCAGATAGATATGATTTATCTGGACGAGATATCAGAGATACAAATAAAAAACGACGAAAAATACGAAGAAATGAATGTATGAAACTTGATTTTGATGAATATGAATATAATTTTGAAGAAGAAGATATTAATACAAATGAATTAATAATTACATCATCAAATTGTATTGATGAAAATGAAAAATGGTCTATTGTTTTTGAAGAATCAAGTAAATTTTTTAAAATTTATTTGAATAAAAACTAATTCTAATCATTCTAGATGATCAATACTCAGCTTCTATTGATCTACCAATTGAATATTTTATCCGTTCAATCTCATCTAATTGCAAATCTACTTCTTTTTCTAATGATAATTCATCAGATATTATCAATGATCGTAAAGCACATAAATATTTCGAACCTTGGCCAATATCCAATAAAAATATTAAAAAATCTTCAATTATTACCGAAGATTTATTGTGTTCTATTCCGTGTGAAAATGAGTCAGACTTTCTTTCTTTAATGCAACAGTCAGCACTGAAAATTGTTCAAGCAAATCTTTCACCACCAATATTTCTTCAACGTACACCAACATCATCTTTTTCTGTTATTTATACATATTGTCGAAAGTCATCTACTGTCGAAGCAAAACTTAAATTTATTGATCTACCTCCAAATATTATTTTCAATGCAAAAGAAATAACTTTAAAAAAATTAATTGAATTAGTATCTAATAAATTAGATGAAAATCAAGTAGACTTAAACAGTAAACCAACGGAAAATACTCGTATAGATGTTGACGCATTACGTGGTTCATTACCATTACCATTACACATTACACAAAAAATGATTTTAGTTCGACCTAATTCAACAGATAAACTCACAGCATTAAAAAATGAAAATCTTACTAATGATAATAAAGACCAACAAGAACGATGGTATGATACAACAGGTGATGAATATGAAATATTGGAATGTTCAATTTGTTGTGATACTTTAACTAGTTATGATGCTTGTCAACTTCTTCCTTGTATGTACTTTTATTTCTAAACAAATTTTTAATCTATCTGATCTTTTCCTTTTACAAAAAAAAAAAAACAACAGGTCATCATACACTTTGTCAGTCATGCTTAAAATCATATATCTGTACAAGTATATCATCAGCAACATATTCTTCATCTGGTGGTACATCACCAATAACTTGTTTTCAACAAAATTGTTCAACACAATTAAATTCATCTCTTCTTCAAGCATTTATTTCATATGAAATTTATCAATCATATAATCAATCATTAATTGATCGTCATTTATTTTCATCGGGTAATTATCGTAAATGTCCATCACGTGTATGTTTAAATTTACTTATTATTGATGATAAAACAAAATCATCATTAATGTGTTCATGTGGTCAACGTGTTTGTTCAGAATGTTTAGAAGAATATCATTTTCCAGCAACATGTCAACAATATAAATCTTATGTAGCACGTTTACGTGAAAGTGGTGATGATTTATTAAGTATATCAAAAATTGGAGATAATTCAAATTGTTATATAGCTGAAGGAAAAAATTGTCCAAATTGTGGTGAATTTGTTGAAAAGAATGGAGGTACGTTTTTGTTTCTGAAAAAAAAAAACTATCAATAAAACAAATATTTTAAATATTATTTAAGGTTGTCCTCATATGACATGTAAATGTGGTAATGAATATTGTTGGATGTGTTTAAAACGATGGTCAACACATAATTATTCAGCTTGTTTTAATATACCTGAATCAACACATGAACTTCGTTCATCAACACGAAATCGTTTACATAATAAAGCAATAAATCATCGTCGTGAACGTAATCAATATTCATTTAATTTATTATCACAATCTGCACGAATACCAACAATTCCTTCAACAAATTATAATTTAATTTTATCAACTTATATTGATTTAAATACATTAGCAGAATTTCTTTATGTTTTATTACAACGACGACGTACGGATGTTAATATTCGTGCTGTTTTAAGTCGAACAGCAAAACGTTTAGAAACAGATGCATTTCAAATAAAAATACAAACTCAATGTAAACAAATTAAAATGGAACATATTCAACAAATACGATTAAGACTTCAACAGACTGTATCCAGTTTATTGCATATGAAAAGAAACAATATTTTAATGTAATTTATTTATTTATATTTTTTTCTTTTGGCGAGGCATTTGAAATTTAAATTAGTTTATATATTTTGTATTATTTGTTCTTATATAGTGACTCTAGATCTGTGATATGAATATATATATATAATAAATTTTATAATGGGGTTGCAATTTTCAGTAAAGTTTTATTTTTATTTTTTGGCATCGGTTCAGATAGAGAATTGTTAGTTTTTCGTCATGAGAAAGAGTTATTGGAATTTATCTTTATTTGTCCTAACTCAGACAGACAAGACTCCTGAAAAATCACGTAAGATTTTTCTAGACTTACACGTTTTTACTCATTTTCACAATAAATTTTATGAGTCTTACTGCATTCAAAAGCAACAACAAACATTAACCCTAAAAGATCGATTAAGAAAATATTTTTCCTGGAACGTGTTTCACTACGTTAAACAATAACTCGTTATTTTCAGTTTTTTAAAGCAAATAAACAGGTTCAAACAAATTTGTTTCTTGAGATTCATTAAAATACAAGATCGTTAGTCCGATCACTTATGCATATTTGTACACATTTTATATGAAAATAATGATTTATAGACTGTTCTTATTAGAGATGTAACATTGCCACAACGATATTTGGGCATTGATAGCAAGATTTTTGATTCGGGAGATATTATTTCTCTTCTGCAAATATTCGACTTTTTTACTCATTTTTTTGTAGCTTTCTTGTAATTTTGGATTGAAACAGAACTTTGAAACATCATTTGCCTTTCTCTGGTAATAGATTTAACAAAAAAATAAGCAGACGAGGTCGTTACGAGACGAATAGAATGGTGATATGAATATATATATATATAATAAATTTTATAATGGGGTTGCAATTTTCAGTAAAGTTTTATTTTTATTTTTTGGCATCGGTTCAGATAGAGAATTGTTAGTTTTTCGTCATGAGAAAGAGTTATTGGAATTTATCTTTATTTGTCCTAACTCAGACAGACAAGACTCNCGACTTTAAAAAAACTGGTCGGACAAAAGTTTAGTCTCGTTGAGACCTTTAAAACCAAAAAAAAATATTGTATATATGGCGATCCGAGAGGGAGTTATTTCAATTTTCCTGTCTGGAAATCATGTTTTGAGAAAATCTCTAAAGAAGTTTTAGAAATGGATTTTTCATTCAAATGCAGGAAATAATGGTATATTGATAATATTTATGTGGAATTTTTGAAAGCACGCAGTAGATGGCATAAGCTAGCACTACAGGTCGTACTATATGATATAAGAATGTTGATTCAATGCTGATAGAAGTAAAAAAGTAGTCTTCCCAAAAATAACAAAAACCGCGAAAATCTCTCCGAAAACCGGGTAGTGAGGTGGAAATCTCCTACGAAAGTCTGTAAAAATTTGACCTTTTTTAAAAATTTATATATATATTCTGAAAGAGGAAACTTCGTTACATCTTTCTATGATAAAAACTCGACTTCGATTACTTTACCAAAAAATGGCTTTTCTAAGGGGGGGCCCCCTTAATCTCAGTTTTTCTTTTTGTGATTCACCTAAATTACGTATTTCCTTTTCTTTTAGATTTCTAGTTGTTGATTATTGCATACTGTGTTGATAGATATAATTTCATGCGATTACTTAAAACAGTTAAGAACACATTGTATGATGGTGAAAATCTTCTGCTAAAATCTCTATTAAATGATGCAATTTATTGTTCATAGTCACTTATATTCCTACCAATTAAATATTAATAAAATGTTTAAGAAGAAATACACGAAATATTTTTTCAAATCCATATGTGTAATATTTGTTTTTATATGGTTTTTAATTACATCATCTTTTGTTGTGTCTGAGAAGTCAAAAGACTGCCCAACATCATCGGTTGGCTATTTTCCTCAATCAGTTCGAATTCCTAGCAGTGTTTATCGTTTATCAAAATTGATTACAAAGCATAATATCAGCTTACCAGTTATTCCAACTGAAATAACTGATCCAAATTTAAATGTTTTAAGTGTGCGTGTAAGTCGATTACGTTCAAGTGGTTCAGCAACATTCATTATTACAAAACAACAGGACACATTAAATTTAGATTTTTGGTGCTTATTTGATGATCAATTGATTACTCCGGTGTACATATTTAATGTTCAAAAATCTAGTAAATCAATTTTCTTTTTCGAATGTTCACTTCCAGATTCAATAATTCAACGTTTATGGTATAATCGAATAATAGATCAAGAAATAAAAATTTATCTTTCTACATCAAGTAAAATTCTTTTTCAAGGTTTTCTTGATCTTCCATGGTCAAATTGGATAGAACAAAATGAACAATCATTAACATTATGTACACTCTCATTATACAGTAATTTAACATATTTTACTCAATGGATTGAATATCATCGTCTAGTTGGTATTAGTAAATTTGTTGTTTATAATATTTCAAATATGAATAATCAATTGTATTCTATAATTAATTTTTATGAAGAAGGATATCCTGGTTTAATTGATATTATTCAATGGCATAATTCTATTGATGAAATTCAATATGATTGTTTTTTACGTTATGGAGATATTTCAGAATGGATAACAGTTATTAATATAAATGAATATTTAATTCCACAAATTCCTTATGATACGCTTCCAAGATTATTAACTGAGCAATATGGTAGAAATTTACAAATTTCTGTTATGTTAGAAAATCAAGAATTTTGTTCTAATACTCAATATCAATTCACAGAAAATGAAATCATAATCGAACATTATGTCTTACGACATACAGTTTCAAATCGTTCAGTCAAATATTTTTATCAACCTCGTGCTATTGACTATTTATCAATCCATCGAGATAATATAGAAACAAAGTTCTATGATCAAACGAAGAAAACTATCGCGCTTGCACAATATCCAACCATAGAACATGGCAAATCATTTTCAAATTGTGTATTGGATAAAATCATAGTAGATACAATGATCCGAGATCGATTTGCTAAACGTTTATTTGATGAAATCCAAAAATAGTAATCATTATGCACGTTTCGTTATGTATAGAATGCAAACAGTTCTATAGACTCCTTATTCAAACAAAACAAACAGTGACATCTGAGTAAAGTGTGCTAATATTAACATAGTTTTTTTCTTTTTCGATATACAATCTATAAAAAAAAATTTTATTTTTTATTGTTTTTTTTTTAACATAAATGCGCTATTTGTAAAAAAAGAAGTTAATGAAAGTTTCGTTCAATATGATGATCTGTTTGAACTATTCGAGAATTTATTTTGCTTATGTAAATATCATTATTGCTTGTCAAACAATATTCTTGTAACAAAATAAACGTATGACAAATGAGCAGTAAGATACTTTATTTGATTTTTATCTAAAATATTCAATTAACTAAATATTGCATGTCTCTTCATTTTGATTAATCAAAAGAGAAATTTTGACAAATTTTTGTTTCTTTTGGATTTCTAAATACAACAAAAATTAATTTTCATGTCGATTGTATCTACTGATTTCGATATAAACTGTCCTATGAGAGATATATTCAAGCCATAAATGGAATTCTATATCCACAACTAAACGATGAGATTTTGAAAGCTTTGCAAAATTATTGATGATAGCATGTTATTAATATCGATTAAAAGATAATTACAAAGCATATAGTATAAGGTAATATGTTTAAATCAAAAGACAATTTTGATTTAAAATATTTTATTAATATAATTATGTGAAATAAAAAATTCAACATAATAAGTGGAAGAGAATGTGACATGTTCTGAAGCTTCAATAAAATGCAAAAAACAATTATTCGAACAAAAAGAAGAAAAAAATCATTATGTATCATTCACTTCATGTATCTCAACAATAATTATCTTCATAGTGAAATAACTATGTAGTACTGTTCTTCGTTCAATGATGTTCCTTTTTTTTTAACATAATTAAACTACACGTCATGTATTATTAATATAATAAGTTATGGAAATAAAAAAATTCCTTGCACCATAAGGTCAGGTTTGACTCACACCACCGCCCATTAATTTTCAATATCTTTGACGTCAAAAGATTCTTTTTTTCGTTGATGTCACATGTAATCATATTCGAACACGAAAGAAGAACGAATGATATTATACTTGTTTTATTACTCACTCAGGTAAATGTAAGATAGACGATTTCATTGCTGACTGTTTTTTTTTTCGTTTGCTATTTTATTACGTTTGTCACGTTTGGCTTCGTATTTAATTTTCATGGTCGTATGCATCAAACGGAAAATCATGCGTTTTTAATAAGCAATTTGAATACACTTAGTAATCAAAGTCAAGAGGAAGAACAAGAATCAAATATGCTTGCAGCACAATTTCCACAACGAATCAATCCACCAGTAGTAACAGATCAATATCATCACAGTGAAACTATATGGAGAGTAATTCTTGATATCATTAGTCTTATAATATGTAAATGTTTTTTTTTGTTTCTATTTTGAAATTGTAAATTTAACGATTTTGTTTTTTAGTGCTCATTATAACGATTATTTCACATTATGTGGCGAAACCATTTACACGTGGTTTTTTCTGTTCGGATACATCAATACAGTATCCATACGAGAATAATACTATACCAACTTATGCTGCTGTTATTTTATCAATTTGTCTTCCAATTTTTTGGGTAAGTTATATATATTCAAAGTGATAAAAAAAGTTTAACAACAATGTATTTTTAAATTTTTTTCCATAATTTTAAGCATCTATCTCAAAGCCAAATAGGAATTTTCATAGCTAATGGAGATTTCTATCTGATGCATACTATGGTAGCGTTTCTAAAAAAAAATCAGACACGGTAGCTTTCAGTTTCCAAACTACTTTTTCGAAGCTAATTTTTAACAATACGATTTTAAAGAACATAAAATTCTCAACAAAATGAGAAGTCATTGTGTTTTTGACAATCTTTGGTTATAAAAAGTTAAAAGTATCACATGAACGATAAAAAAACAAAATTTATCAAAAATGCTTTTTTTTCGGTTTTAGTGATGCTTTGGGGAGCAATAGTTAACGATAGTTGTATCCGATATACTTCAACCCTTTATTATCATGAATCTCTTACTATATTGATCGGTAAACAATACCTAGGATATGATAATATTTGAGCGCGTTTAGGAAGAACACCTAAGAGAGAACAGAGAGATCCATTGGAAAAATACATATAATAAGATAGGAACAATATATGACAGGAAAGAAGGAAAATACCTCTAACAGAAAGGGGGAAAATACCTATGATGTAGAGAAGAGGAGAATCACAACATATAGAAGAACGCACGAAAATAAAAGATGAAAACAGTTGATTATAATACTTCTTAGCATAATAAAGGAAAGTAAGGATAAAGGGTCATCTGTACCAGAGATGTCCATCGGGGCGCGGCAGCGGCAGATCTCGAGCCGCGATGGACATTTCTGATCTGTACTTCAAAATGTCATTGTTAAAAAAGAGCTCCAACAAAATTTTCTAGAAAACGAAAATACCATCTGGATTTGATCTCATTGCTTCATATTAAAAAAACGAACTGTTAATACAATCCCTGCAGAATAAAAATGTGAGACATGATGTAGTTGCAGTTGTTCACCACAGGAAGATTGCTTTATTCTGTCTATCTTGGGACATATTTCTTTACCCTTCTTTTACTTAATACTTCAGAATTACTATAAAAAAATTGTTTATATATTGTAGCGTATTGTTATTGATATAGGATCTGTATTGAAGGAGGGTGAAAGTTTCTACTCTATATAGATCAGCACTCCTTGTAAATGTTGTCTAAGTGAATATCAAAAATATGTTGTTGTTAAACTGTATTCCACTTACCTTATAATAAGTTAAACCATCAAGAGTTTCTTTTATATGTGATTTTAGATGTGGATTACAGAATTTTGTAAACGATCTTATTTTACTTGGTATCCACGACGAACATTTATAACTCGTTTAGAATTATCTGAAACCCACGTAGTATATATCTCCCCATTTGTTCGTAATCTATATATGCTAACAGGTAAATAAATATATTTCGTAATCGGTATGAAATGATTCATTTTCATTTAGTCATATTTTTCTATGGTTATCTTGCAACATGGGTTTTAACTGAAATTGCAAAAAATTTTGTTGGTGAATTACGACCACATTTTCGAGCTGTCTGTAATCCAACTTACAATTGTTCAGCTGTTACATCATTAAATCAATTTAATAGTTATCTTCAATATGGCATTGATTATACATGCCAAAATACAGATGTTACAGCTGTACGAGAAGCACGGTAATTGAATAATTATTTGAAAAAAAAAGCAATTCAGATGATTCATATGAGATAGAATTCACTTAAACTATTTTTATTCTAATGGAAATTTTCATAGGCGATTTATATTTTAGATACAGACACGAAAAGTACTGCTTGACATGAAATGTTTGTGTCAGTTGGTAATTTGCTGTTTGTGAGAGAAAAGGCATAGAAATTTCTCTTTATTGATTTCAATCTTCATGATTAATTATATTTTTTAATAAATACAGAAATTTTTAATTGTTCATTTTCCTTTGTTTTTAATTTAGTCGATCATTCTTTAGTGGACATGCTTCATCCATTTTTTGTAAGTTTTGTATATATATATATATGTTTCTTTATGATTCAATCTCGTAAAATATAGTTGGTTTGACTTGGTTGATTATGTATATTCATGTGTCATGGTCCTGGCGTCATCTTGGTATTCTTAGCAATTTATTTCAAGTTGGTCTTGCTATACTTGCATTTTATATAGGTGATGCAACAGATGTTTATTAGTTGTTGTTTTTTTCTAATATTATCTGTATTTTTGTATATAATAGGCTACTCTCGTATTAGTGATTATCAACATCATTGGCAAGATATATTAGCTGGTGGTATATTTGGTTCTTTTATTGCATTTTTTACATTTAAATTTATTCTTAATTGGCATCATTATAGTACACAATTTCTTCCTTATACAGCAAGTCATTTGCCAAGAACATTACCAATAAATCAAAGAAATATTAATTATGTTCAAATGAATCCAAATAATGAACATGAACAAATTCATTATTATTTTTAAAAATAAAAGCTTGTCTACTTCTTGCTTTAATTTAATATAATTTTGCTTTAGGATTGAACATAATAAAAATATGTCTTTCACGTTTATAGATTGATTTTATAAATAAGAAAAGAAAAAATTTTCTTTGCAATGACTGATACTTCAGTGCATCCTTTTTCGTCTTCAAATCGACAACAATATCGTGATGACTTCGCAGCACCAATCAAATGGACTCCAAAGTCTACAGTGCCTGTACGAAGGTATGTCTATATAACAAAATAGCGTAAATATATAAAAGTTTACATATTCATCGTTTCGAGTACAAAAGAAAGATGAGTAGCGCTATGAGTAAAGAAGAAGCTTTGACTATGTAATACGAATCAATGAATATATCAATAGTAGAGATTAATAGGCATTGTTATTCGAACACAGTTCAGCAGTGAGAAACATTCATACCCACATATATATTGTGAAACACGATCTAAAAGGAGTATTGATTTATAGAGGGTAAAAAGTTTGAATTTCTCTTCCAACTGATTATATATTAATAACATCTTGTTCTAATATTTGAATTGCTTCCTTATCGAATTTTTGGAGGATTAACTAAAACCATAGTGTAGAAATATGTTACGAAATAGATAGAATAAAGCAAACTCATTGTGATTAGCAATAACAGTTACATTGTGTTTCACATTTTAATCCCGCACAAATTGCGCTAACAAATTTTAATGTTTTATTTTAGTCGCCAATCTATATCACAAGAAATTTCATTATTAAAATTAATTTTCGATGGTGTTTCACTTGTGCTTGGTTTGTTTAATTTTGTTTGTTTAATATTATTAATTTTTTTTCTTAAATCTTGTATAGTACTTACAACATGGTTAATACTTAAATATTTTGTAAAACCAGTTCGACGACCATTTTTATGCTCGGATTTAGAT